GAGTGTGAGATTTGTCAGTTGGTAAATAGATTGGTAATTCCCCGAGACGCTTTTCTACATGAAGTTACAGTGAATGTTGTGTACACTCAACCCTCTGGAAAGTTGCATCAGCAGCCGTGGATTACATATAGAGAGGGGTGGTTTCTGCCGAACTGTATGTGCCTTTCCTTTTAAGGGCTATCTACTGTGGAATTTTTTTGATTAATTTCTTAGTATCCTTCATAGTTTGTGGTATTCATAGTACTCTTTGTTATTTTGCGTTACTTCTTAAAAAAAAATCCTTTAGATAAACAGATTTGCTGCAGAGTAACTTTCTTTTCTGTTTTTGTTTGGGTTTCTTTCCCCTCCCGTGGATAAGGTTGCAAAAAAATTCGTTGCAAAGAAATTTGTTGTTCTGTGTTGAGCACTAGATTCCAAAGGGGCTCTCACAGACGCTGCCTCCATACCCAATTCTCTGACAGAAATGATTAAAAACTGGATTTAAGTTTTGAGGAGTGCAGGTGGGCACAGCTGAGCTCCCTATTATTAATCAGTTTCCCTCTTGAGAATGCAGTGCTCTTGTGTAGGCTGCTGTATCACCTTGATGGTTTATTTCTCTTGATCGTGGGCTGATGCTGCCCATGAAGCACACAGACTCGGTAAAGCAAGAAGATGGAGCAATTAACAGATTATAACGTGTGTCAGAGATGTCTGTTGAGGCATGTGCAGATTTTCAGATAAAGAATGTTATAGACAGAATTGGATTTTATGAAGCAGCTTAGCAAGAGCTACTCTAACAGTCTGCATGTTCTCCCTTTTTTTGCCTCCTTCTCTGTCATGGATAAGTTTGCTTGTAAAATGCAGTGGTTAAAACTTCACAATCTTTTAGTTGACCTTTTGGTAGCCAGCTGTTACAGTTGACAGGCCATACAGATACCCGGTCAAGAAGGTGGATTTCTTATTCCTGAAATTGTCCAGAGTGTGCAGTTTCTTGTCAGATGCTAGGGTGCATATGTGCAGCATTCGTTTGGTTCTACTGGGGCAGCCACTTCTCCTGCTTCCTTTAGGAGCATCCAAACTGTTCTGGCTCTCAGACAAGAATTTACCAAAATCAGAAGCTGCAGATCCAGTGGTTGGAATTTCATGCTACTCTATTCATACTCAGGGGAGAAGGAAAAAAAAAAAAAAAAAAAAAAAAAAAAAGGATGGCTGAAACACTACTTGGCTAGTGACCTGTTTTTTTGTTTTCTCAAAATTTTGCTTAATTTCTTTCTTAACTTTCAATAAGATAGAGACTCATCTCCAAAAGGTGTGGAACTTCATTTTGTGAAACCAGTCATTGTCATGTTGGCTCAGTTTAAGATATCAAATTCCCCAAGCTGATCTTTCTGGTTATGTTTTCTTCAATACTTTGGCTTTCCTATTTGCACAGGTCAAGTGAAAGGACACAGGATGGAGTGGTGGGAGTGGGTATTTAGGATGCTTGCTTAGAAAGTATATATGCAAACATTAGGTGTTCTGTAAAGGTTAAGAGTTCCATTCAATTCCTAGAAATCATTCAGAAATCTGGCAATGTAGCATTTGAAATAATAACTTACAACATTGTCTCCACAACAAGCATATTATTTAAGTTTGCTATCTTATGAAAAGCCTTAAGTTTCTAGGTACAGCAAAATTTTATAGGTAACTATAGTTCTGTTAATCTCACTTGACAAGTGTCAACTTATTGCAATATGGGGTAGCTGGTGTAGGCATGATGCATCAGAGACTCCAGGTAGTGGAAAAGTCCCTTAATTTAGTTCTGGATATTTTTATTCCGATAGGTATTATTAGAAGCACAGAAAGAATTGGTGGACTACAAAGGACTTGGTATAAGTGTTCTTGGTAAGACTTAAAAAATCTACATATTTCATGAATTTGTTGTTTAACTGAATTGTTTAATTAGACTTTCTGATCTTGGTATTTTGGCTCCATTTCTAATACCTGTGTGTCTGTACAGATGTGTATAGATACCATATAGATGTATAGCATCTGTCCCACTAGGAAGGCAGTGCTCTCCTGCTGGCTGGCTTTTCAGCCCCAGCTGGACAAATGATTTATGCATCAAGCTGGTTTTGCATTGTATTAGTTGCTAAAAGTACATGCAGATGTCTCCACACAATGCAGATTAATGTTTAAACTGTACACTTACACATGGAAGACAGCCTATGGATTTAAAAGGAATTACTGTGTAACTGTCCTTAATGTTTATTTAGCTTTACTGTGTGAGGAAGCCTTGCTAAAGGTAAGAGAACAAAACCTGTACTTTTCCTGTGCTTTGTATATACTGTTACATGCTTATTACAGCATTAGCAGCAGAGAAGGTTCTCAACATGAGGAAGAATGAAACCTTTCTAGAGACTATTTTTTTACCCACAAATGTGGTTGATCCTAGTGGTGATAAGGTCATGTGGGTGCCAAATGTTAATGAACAGGATTTGCCTGTATCTAGACAAGATTGCAGGTATAGGTGTTCTTTGGGTATTTAGGAGTATTTAAGTACTTAAATTGGGAATGACAACCTTCAGGCATTTTGGGTCTGTAGTGTAAAAGGTTTAACAATTAAAAAGCTTAACAATTTTAAAATCAAATTAATGTATTACCATCTTGTTTCATGTTATTTCTTCTCTTTATTCCACCAAAGAAATGAGCCATCGGTCTTCAGATTTCACAAAAATTCTAAATACAACTGAAAATCTCATGCGTGAATTGCTGTAAGTGAATTACTTTCTTCTTATTTTTTTTGTTATGTGTGTGCTAGTTGCATCAGTAATGTCTAATGTGGAGACCTTTTCTTAAGAGCACATCTTTGGTGGTGTTTTTCATGCATGGCTACTGTGTATTGTAGAGTAATAACCTTGAGGAAGACGCTGATCTTCTTATATGTAAGTTTGATGCTTGTATGTTTGCATGTGACAATGGATTCTTATTAGGTTAAGATGTTTTTTATATGTCTAGCTGAGTTTTTTTGAAATTTTGATTTTCGTCACCTTCACAGAATTAATGAAGGACATGGACTAAAAGAAATAAATGCAAATAATAAAAATCAGTTCTCTAGTGATATAAATGTGATCTACATGTTGTCCATAAGTCCTATTTTATTAACAAAAGCTCTGTGGATCAGTGTTAGAATCCCTGAGCAAGAGCCCTTTTCCTATTCATAGAATGACACATTTAAAAAAAAACTGAAATAAATATATAATGAATTAGAATTACTGTTCTCACAGTAGTTACTAATGTTGGTCATTTAACACAAATGCTTCACCCTCAGTCCAGCCAGAATCATTGACAAAGGGATCTCAATGAAATATTTGAATATGTATTTTTTGTGATTGTATGAGACACTATTTCACTTGCTCTGCATGTACACTTTACTGTACTCTTGCACTTTCAAATTTAAGAGTCTCAAAGCCAAGTGCTACTGTAAGCATTTTGGTGACTTCATGGCAGAAAAGTCATGAAGCTACCAATAGATAAAATTAAAAGTCAGCATAAATTTTGATGGTTTATCTCTCAAGTCTGTGTGTACAGCTACTCAGGAGTGAGTTTGTTTCACACAGTGTCAGGGCTGGGGAGAAGAAACTTTTTTTCATCAAATGTTTATCCCTAAAATTCACAGCATTTACTCTTAAATATTTAATCTGTTTCTCAAGACCAGTGCTAAGATAAGTTAGTGGGACTTCATCTAACCTCTAGGCAGAGTCTTCTAAAATGACAGTGTTCTTCCTCAGTCATGGTTAAATGCATAATATCAAACTTTAAAAGGAAAAGTTATGCATGCATCCTGTGTCACCTGGGAATAACATAAATGGTTATTTCTTTTATGCAGAAATATACCAGACAACTACAAAGTTATTTTCCTTCAGGGAGGTGGATCTGCTCAGTTCAGTGCAGTCCCGCTTAACCTTATTGGTTTAAAGGAGGGAAGACAGGCAGATTATGTGGTTACTGGAGGCTGGTCGGCAAAAGCAGCTAAAGAAGCAGAGAAGTATGCCAAAGTAAATATTGTTCATCCCAAACTAGGAACCTACACAAGTAAGTTGATGATTACATCTCTCCATGTGAATGCTTAGCTTTTTGACTTGCTCTAAAAATGGATCCAATGTAGCTATTGGGCTGTTGAATGTTAACTAGAGTTGATTGCCCAGAACTCTAAAGAATGTCTGCCATACTCCTCCTTGTTCAACACTGGGAGATTTATTAAATGGCTTAACAGTTTCCACCAGAAAAAAAAAATGCTGAAATGGAGCTGAACAAATGCCAGGTAATAAGTGGCAAGACAAAAGTGTCTAAGTAGGGAAATTGTCTGGAATCTCTGTTTTTTTTCTATTTAGTTCTTAAGCTATTCAGAGGGATATTGTGACATATTTCAATTTAATGTACACTCTGTAATAAGATTGCTCTAAAATTCAGAAGCAGTTCTGAGATTTTAACCTTGTTGACCCAGGATATGGGAGACTTGAATTCTGTTACCTGCTTTTAAGGATTCCTAAATTATTCTTTCCCACCAATGTGTTACTGAATATACATAAATAATTCTTGGAGCAGGAACACATGAATTTTTATTCCTGTTACTTTTGCTCACTTTTCTTCCCTCTGGTCCAAATTACAACATTTGAACTAAAAAGAGTGGCAGCAAGACAAAGAATATCCCCATAAGTTAGTGTATTAACTGGCAATTAGGGTACTAACTTGGAAAGTATGTTTATATTCTGTGAGGCACAGGAAGGAATTGAACCTACAACTGTCCAGTCTAGGGGAGTATAATTCACCATTTCGTAGTTGTGGATAAGAGGAGAGGCAGTAAATAATGATGAAGTCAATGCTGCCATCTCCCACCCTTCCCTCCACCTCCTATCAGGACCTGGAGGAGAAAAGAAAGGGAGAGCAACAATTTGTTCTATGTCAAACCTGTTCTGTGGTGTCAGGACATGCCTGTATATTGCCTGTTGACAGAGGAGATCTTAGTTTGGTAAATCAGTTGCAAAGCTTAAAGTGGGAGAAAGGTGGGTGACCTTGTGTTTGTTCAGCTTGGGCAAGACTCAAATGCTTCTGGGATTGCACTGAAACAGAGTTTTATAGAGAACTTTGCCGGTGAGAATCTGGATGTTTCATGGTTCTAAAGGCAGCAGGAAGATTCTACTTAGTGTCTGAATTCCTTTGAAATGCTGTTTTGAACCCCTAGGACAGTAGTCTGCAATTGCAAATGGGAGGAAAATAATTTGAAGAATAAGGGGTGAAAATCAAAAGGTTTTTCAAACTTAATGATGGCTCACAAGAGAATTTTGGGAATGCACCAGAGAATTTTGGGAATGTGTTGGCTTTGCAGATACATTATCTTCCTGGTAACAACATGACTGATAGTCTATAGACTATTAATAGTCTAGTGTCAAAATTGTTCTTTGTTGGCACTAAATTTAATGTTCAGGTAAAACTACATGCCAAGAAAATTACTTGTCTGCAGTGACCTCTGAGTTTCTCTTTTGTCTTTTAGGCATTCCTGACCCAAGCACTTGGAATCTTAATCCGGATGCATCTTATGTGTACTACTGTGCTAATGAAACTGTTCATGGTGTGGAGTTTGACTTTGTACCTGATGTCAAAGGAGCTGTCTTGGTTTGTGATATGTCATCAAACTTCCTGTCCAAACCTGTCGATGTTTCCAAGGTAAACAATTGGACACAGTGACCTGCACAAAGCATTTTCAAAATTTAATGCATATAGTGAAGCACTTTGAAATGTTTGGATGGCTAGAGATGCTGAGCGGTGAAATTAAGAAAGTCGCATTTTGTTAATTGAATATCTGATGATAGATAGAGGTATTGAAATTTCAGGTTTGTGATTTCAAGGTCACTTTTCCTTTTTCTTGTAAAAACATACTGAAATATGTTGAAATTGTTCATGTTAATAGCTGCCCAAGATTATTTAGTTAGTCTGATATTCACTGATGAAGAAAGTACCTGCTAAAATAAAATAACAGCTAAAATAAATATCTTCTAAATAATATTTAGTCTGTAGATAGTACAGCAGGGTACTGTTAATAAATTTTTTTAATCCTGCCTGTTACATGAAAAATCTGTAACCTCTTTTAAGCTCCTAAAACTTCCTCTGCCTCACAATTCTGGTGTCTGTTTCACAGATAGTACATAGGCAGTTACTATGTTTGTAAAGTATACTATGAGTAGAAGTGTTATTGACTAGTGAAATAGTGTGTTTGACCTTTCTTACCTGTGTGTAGCAAAAGGAAGTAGTTGTTAATGCATTCAGCTTCTCCTTTTCTGATCTGCTTCTTTTTACAGGTGGAGTTTATGATAATTTTTCTGAAATACTAGATGGGTTGAAAATGCTGTGAACTGTGTAGGAATTTGCCTAGAGTAGTGTGAAATTGCAACAGACTGTCTTGAGAATTTTTGTAGCTATTAAATATACATTTAGCAAACTAAGCGCACTTTGAAACCAGAACTTCTGCTAACTCTTCTTTTAACCTACAGCTTGCTAATTTTCAGCACATTCTTTGTTATGTTCAGCTGACTAGTATGCCTGGGATATTATTCAGTAATAACATCTACAAGTGAATGCATGTACCAAGTTCTTTTCTTCTTCATTTTAAAGTTTGGTGTGATTTTTGCTGGTGCTCAGAAGAATGTTGGCTGTGCTGGAGTTACTGTTGTAATAGTACGTGAGGACTTGCTGGGATTTGCACTGAAGGAATGCCCTGTTGTACTGGATTACAAAACACAGGCAGCAAATAGCTCATTGTATAACACTCCACCATGCTACAGGTAACTCACCCTGCTATGTGATACCCCTTACTCAGAAAGCTGCCACACTGCCGTCTCCCAGTCTTATCTAGAAAAGCTTCCAAAGCTGCATATTTGCCCTCAAGTCACTGATACCTTGGGAGTGTTTCATGTGATTCCTGTGAGAACATGGGAAGTGTCCAGCAGTGTGACTAGTAGGCTTTGCATTGCCTAGTGTGACTCGGCCACAGAAGATGTCACCTTTTTCAGAGTAAATATTACATGTCATAGTTCCATTGTAGAAGTTTCAGGATGCTGTTCTGGTTTACATGAGCACAACTCTAGCCAATTCAGTGGTGATGCTTCTCTCATTGCAAGGACATAATTTGGCACTCAGACTTAGCTCTTGATCCTAAATACAGTTTGAATTAATTTCTTCCTGATGTTGTTCTCAGCATTTGAACCTCCAGATCCTCACTAACTTTCTTTATTAGAAAATGGTAAATAATATTGTGATTAAAGTTTTAAATAATATATTACAAGAATATGTACTCTTTTAATATTTAAAAATATTTATTGCTCTTTCTACATCTTTCACTACTGTTGGTTTTGAAATGAAACTGTAGAAGAATTTTTAAAAAGGCATTTTAGTAGTTTCTTTGCTTTTACTCTCTTGCAGAGTTTTGTGTAATTCTTTGACTGCCACAGTGTTTGGTTTGGAATCCAAAGATAAAATTGACCTAGCTTTATAAACATTGCTAGCAATCAAAATCATAAAATTGCCATGTACCTGATGATTTTATTATACAAGAAGCAGATCAGACTGCAGCTTGCTTTTTAAAAATTGCTATCTTGTAGCTTCTCATAATTAGTGAAATGGTGATTTACTACTAGTATGTTTAGCTGTTGAGCTAGTAGTATCTACTTGTTCTTATCCTGAAGAATTTTTCTGCCAGCATCCTCTGAAATTATTATTTAAAAAAAAAAATCTAGTTATTTTTTTTCCCAGAAGCTTTTAAAATTACTTTGATAATAAAGGTTTCCTTTTCAGGATAATTTCATAATGGAATTTTATACTGATATTTAGTCTCAACTCTTATAGCTTGTTTGTATGTTCCAGAATTGCAAAGTTAGGTTACCTAATGATCTCCAACACGCATTAAATGAACTGTACAGGCCCAAAGTTCAGTGATTTTGTATAAACCCTATAACTTAATCCCATCATTACAACTAGTATCACTTCAAATTTCACTGAATTTAAGTATCTCTGAATCTTCTGATTGTCACTGCAGTGTACTATTGCCATGACATAGGAGCAGCTATCTTTATCAACAGAACAGTAAATCTTATGAACATTTGTTTATGCTACATTTTACAGTGCAGAACTTGTTCCCCCAAGTTGTGTGCATACTGTACAGTATATAGTGCTGTAATTATGCATTCTTACTGGCAGCCTGTCTGCCCTGTTGGCTGGGTACGCCCAGTAAGAATTAGCTATTCAGTGTTTCCAGATTTTGGAGTGCTCAGTGTAGATTTGTAACATAGGCAGGATGTATGTCTTTTCCAGTGCTTGATGAAACCTCTGTTTCATGATCGATTATTTGCCTGACTGCCAAGTCACACATACTGTTTTTGGACACTGTATACTTGAATATGCCAGGTTTTAAATCCGGCCATTCATGTTTTCCAAGTACAAAGCTATTTCCATTTGAAAAACTGAACTTCTACTTAATCTCAGTACTTGGACACAGTGTTGTTCCTCTGATTTGAAAAGCAAAACAAATCAGATTCTGCAGCCTTATTTTAGCCATTGCAAAGAACTTCTGAAGAGAAAGTGCTGTTTTAGCTGTTACTCAGTATCTGACAGTAGCCTTAACAGAGTAGTGGGTGGTTAAGGGAACTGAAAATAAAGTTGAATTAACAGTTTCTTCTTTCTCATCACTATCTTGCCAGATTTCACTTCATGCTACAGACTCACATTGGAGTATGCTCCAGAATCCAGAATGTAACAGACTGAAATGTTGGCAGGATGCACATCTGTTTGGCTTGGCTCTAACTGCCTGTTCCAGTTTAAGGAACTGGCAAAGCTTCTTAGTTCTCTTTTTCTCTGCTCTTTTCCTTGCACTTGTTAATGGTTTGCTGGCAAACAAGCAAGAAATATAAACTAAATTTGCAAAAACTACTTCAGCAAGATGTTAAATATAGGTGATGCTAACGGCTTAACCTCATGGCACTATATAGTTGACTCTTTGACCCTAATCTGTTTAGCTAAAATTAACAATGATTTTGCTATAAAAATCTCATTTGCCAGCTCTGAAATGCATTTTGCACTTAAAATTGTTCCAGAAACATTATTTTGATTGACATAAAAGAAGGATAAAAGGTTTCAGCTGTCTGGGTTTTTGTGAATGACTATAAGGCTGACTTCTAAGAGTTCGCTTGTCCAAAAAGTTTGCTCAAGGAAGTGAGGGCAAGATGTGAATGTGGCCCTGTATATTTGCCAAGGGCATTGTCTATACTTCACTTAAATAATTTACACTGGTGTAATTGATAGTGTGATGTCATAAATGTGGCAAGAATTTGCTCTTAGAACAGTAAGGTATTCCCTATAAATGTCAGTCTGTAACATTGGTTATTCTGCAACCTTTTGGAAGTCTTCAAGGATTTGGTACTAGCATCCCTTTAGAAATAAAAAGCAGCAAAATTTAAAACAGCCTCCTACAAGATATGTGTTAAGGAAACTTTTAGGGTAATGTTCTCTGAGCACTCCCTTGGAATCAATAATGAAGGGATTCATAAGAATGAACTTGTTGTATATAGGCCATAAAAACTTGTGAGCAGGTTTTTATGTTATTTGTTGTAGTCGTGGGAAATGTCTGAACTTGAACAAGCTGAGTTTTGTAGCAAAAGCACAAAGGCAAAAGGCGTCAAGGATTTTTTTATGTTGCACTTAGTGACTAGCATTGGAATTCTTGGTCTCAAGCCATGTGACACCAGTAGGCTTCCAGATCTCTACTAAGAACTTGACTGGTAACAGTCAAGTGTGATACATCATAATTTGTTTCACAAAACTTCACTGTTCATGTGAGCAAAAGGTCTTTGTAGACAGAAATGGGATTAGAGTTCTTATTTTTAACATTTGTGAAAATATGGTTACGTTTCTAGCATATTAATGTACATGTATTTGAGATTTTTGGGATTTTTTTTTTGCTAGGGCAGCTGCACAGGGCAAATGATATTAACTTTTTTGCTAAATCTGGCTCCTTGTAGGCAGCTGTGTAATCCTTCTGGGCTGGACCTGACAGGGAGTTGTGTGGGCAATGAATTAACAGTGCATGCATCATGTCTGGGGATGTCTTTGGGAGCCTGGCTGGGCTGCAGGAAGTCTGCAGAACATGTCCTTATGTGGTACAAAGGATTAAAACAGGTCCAACAGATATGTGTGGCATTTAAATTTCAGGATATTTCATCCAGAAAACATTGTCTGTTTAGAGTTGTCATAACTTGTAAAATAGTCTAGGTTTTGATTTTTTAATCTTAAGTGCCCTTAAATCAAACATGGCATTTTGTTACTGAAACATTTTGTGAACTATTAGACAAGACTTTTTCTTTTCCTGTTTGAATAATTTAACTGAAAAATGTTCTTTTCCCTTGGCAGTATTTATATCATGGGATTGGTACTAGAATGGATAAAGAATAATGGTGGAGCTGCAGCTATGGATAAACTCAGTTTAATCAAGTCACGGATGATCTATGATATTATAGACAAATCTAATGGATTTTATGTGTAAGTTGCTGTGCTTTCCCCCTTTGCTTCAATATTTGCTACATAACCAAACATTCATAACTTTGGAGAGTTTAATTGTATTTTTGAATTCACTTTTTTTGAGGACTCCTAGAGACTATTTGTGCAGACCATTCTCTTGGTAGCTGTCCATGGATAAGTCTCATTCCAGAAGGAAGTTATTTCACCTTATTGTGTATAGATCAGTAGTGAACCCTACTAAAAACATATTCTAAACTTAATAAAACAGGAGCGTGGGAGAAGAGTATACAAAGAACAGATACGCAGATTCTGGTTTGTATGTTTATGGACACTCTTGGTAACACATAGGCCAAAACAGAGAAAATTGCTGTAAGAAATTGTAGAGGCCCCTTTGCATTGTATTTTGTCTACCCCCTTTCAGGAGTCAAAGACTCTGCTTTTTCTCTGTCAAGCAGAGCATTTTTATTAGCAAATTCTGCTAAGTTCTGAAACACTGATCAGACCTCAAAATGGAATACATTTTCTTTATGTACTTTATGCACAGTTGATTCCAAAGCAGATTTAATCCTCTTGACTTTTACATAGAGTTGCAAGGTATTTTTGAGCTCACAGGACCTAGTTAAAAAGCTGATACTGTAATAATTTTAATATTTGCCAAGCTCAGACTACTAATTGACCATGAAACTGCAAAAGATTTTCTTTCACCTTCAGTGTAAAAGCAACAGTGGGAGGACCTAATTTACTTTCAAGTCCAAGTTAGGATAGAGCAAATTAAATTTGGATTTTAAATTAAAGCTGTCTGTATCATAATTGTCAGGGATAAAGTTTAATCAGAATATTTAATACATTCTTCTTATTCATTTAGTTAATGAAAACAGCTTTGCTTTTAGCACCACCATGATCAGGATTGTGATCCTACTCTAGGGAAATCCCAGGGGCTTTTCATAAACGTCAGAAAGCAAATGAAGCCTTGAAAAAAACATTTTTTGAGAAACAGAAATCTGTATCTGGCAAGTTGGTCTGTAAGGCAATGAGTGGGAAATGCAAAATGGATGGTAAATAGTCAGTTGGGAAAGCAGAACAAGCTTCACTAAGTGAGCTGTATGCAGCTTCCTAAGTAATACAGTTAAGACTGTGAATTTTTAAATTGTATCCATAACTAAAAGGAAGACTTAATTTGAAGCTGCCTTCCCAGCTGTAACATGGCACTTAATCTGTGGCACACTTCCATGAGAAAGCCATGTGACAGGCCATTTAGCAAATGGACCCTTTCTTCCATGAAGTGCTCTGTGGCATTTGTAGTTTGTTTTTCAATGTCTGTGCACTGAATTACATCAGATTGCCTGGATAGAATATTCAGTAGCAACTGGATATTCTAAAAACTAAAGCATGGCTGCAGTAATTCAGATATGGGAGTGCTTAGAAGCATAGGCCTTTTAAAACATTATTTTCCTCGTTGAACCTGAAGTAGAAGATTTGCACAGGAAGGTGTTATGATGACTCTTTTTTCTTTTCATCATGAAGACATCTGGACAACGGAACAGGAGAGGAAATAAAAAGAATGAAACACATTCTTTTCCAAATAGCATAATAATAGGTATGAAATCCACGTGCAGTTTATGAAAACTCATTTATATTGAATGCCTGCAAGAATCTACATCATAGCCCTAGAAAAAAATAAATATGAAGGCCTCAGATCTCATTTATAAGTAGAAACACTAAAAAAGATATTTAAATATTCTCTTCTTCCCCAGTAATTTCTTAGCTTCACAAAATAGTTGAAGAGAAATTGCACATATCCACTTCAGATTAAATGGGATTATAAGAAATTAAGGAGCTGTGATGCATCTCATACAATGTTGTGGCCATGTATGCAGTGCAAGATTTGTTCTAGACATACCTCTTCTCTACTTCATGATTCTCAGTAGTGCTAATTTAGAAGATGGACTGAAATCACTAACAGACGTTTCTAATGTCTATGAAAATTTACTTATGCTGTGTTCTTATACTTCCTTTATTTCTGTTTAGCTGAGTGTGATTCTGGTAGCACTTTTGACTAATTGAGAAGTGTCAGTCTTTGAAGAGGAAGAGAAGAAACTGCTTTAGACTTAGTTAAAATTCCCTGTAATTACCTTACCTATCCAAAGTAACTGTTTATTTATTTTTCTTTCTTTTTTTTTTTTTTCTTTTTATTTATTTAATTTGGTCTGTATACAAGCCTTGTGTCCATTTCTCTGGCATGATTCTGAGTATGACAGGAAGGGTTAATAAGCCTTATACTTTACCACTTCTATTATTATACTTGGTTAAAAAAGGAAGATTGCTTTCTTTTACATAAAATAATGACAATTTTGATTATGAAGGATTGATTTTGGTTCTAAACAGGTGTGATTATTAATTTCTCAAACTGCATATATCTGAAATTCAAATTTAGCATGAAGTGGGTTAAGTATTACATTCTGCAACCTCTCTAGATGTCCAGTGGAGAGAAAAAACCGAAGCAGAATGAATGTACCTTTCCGCATTGGCAGTGTCAAGGGTGATGAAGCTCTGGAAAAGAAATTTCTTGAGAAGGCTGTGGAACTTAACATGATATCTCTGAAAGGACATCGGTAAGTATTAGTCAAGTGAATCTCTGTCCTGTGCAGAATAAACTATTACTACAGTGGTACAGCACTAGGCATTGCGCATTGACTTACCAGCCTTTCTCATGCATAAGCTGTTTCTAACACTGGTTTGGCAACACTTGAGAATAGCAGTCTAGAGATTGTACTCAGAGATTGCTGGTGGCTCAGCTACTGCTTAGGTGAAGAGGTGGGCTTCAGAGAGCTTTATCCTTAATTCTGCTTTCTTCTGCAAATCTGCTTCTGTGCATACGCCAGATATCTTTTGAGGTCATATTGTATCAGTGTATAAAATCTCTCAGATCGCTTGTCTGCCTGGTTGCAAGAGTTCTTTCCCATGTTCAATAATGTTTGTGGGATTAGTTTTTTGATATCATTGGGCTACAGCTTTGGAGCTGTAAACAGCTAATAAATACTAAGCTTCTGTAGATTGGAAGCCTGCCTTGAAGAATTAAATATTGCTTCCCATGCACATAAATGTGAATTTTAAAATTTTTGACTAGGAATAGATTTAAATGTCTGTGACTGCTATTAATGTATTTTTTTAGAATATAGAAAACTTTCCTGGATTTGTTTTTTTTTCTCTAATTTTCAATTTAGGTCTGTGGGAGGAATCCGTGCCTCTTTATATAATGCAGTGACTGTAGAAGATGTTCAGAAGCTTGCAACATTCATGAGAAGCTTCATGCAGATGCATCAGTCATAAATACCCACGGGTTAGAGCCATGCTGCACATCTACGAAATAAAAGCTAAAGGGTTTTAACATTATGGTGGTACTGCACAGCTGTAGTGCACAAGTTTTATTTTCTTTTAGTTCCTGTAGCAATTTTAATTAACTGAATGGAACAGAAGCCCAGTCTTGCAGTAATGTGGCAACTTTGGCTTTGCTGAAGGTGACGATCCCCAGACTGATCATGATTGATTGCAAAATTTGAAAATATGTGGTTAAAGCATGAATAACATTATAAGATGCTATGGATCTGAGTCTCTTTCTCACTTCTAGTTACAACTGACTTCAGTACTGCCTTCTTTTTAGTAAAATTCAGGAAGCAAAATTTGTCATAAGCTCTCTGTAATGCTTTACAAATACTCTCTGCATAATGAAGGTAAACTGACATGATCTCTAGGGTCATCTAGTTCATTTATGGGGTATATTGCAACAGTGTACCACCAGCAGTATTTAGGAGTTAACACTGGCGTTCCTAACTTGAGAATCAGGCCTTCAGACTACTGCTCCAGTGCTAGAAGTACTGTCATAACCATTGCAAGTAATTGTGCTTAAAGTCTGCAGGACTGGGCCTTTCTTCCGATTAACATTTATTAGTTTAAAGCTGAGATTCATGAGTCTGATTAAATCAGTTTCTAAGATGTATTTTATTTCTCTATGCATTTTGTATAATAAACGCCTAGGTTATTAATGTTACATTCTTATTTTGGAGCATACATATTTGCTGCTGCAAAGAATTTGCTTTTCATTTGTTGACCTGGTGCCAGACTGGATTGCTATATTCCACTCAACGAGCCTGTGACTTTCTCTGTGCTGACTTTGAGCCTGAAGTGCAGCAGACTTCTTTGTCTGGTGTTTCTTAAGTGCTCTATTTGCTCCAGTATTTGCTCTACCTTTTCATTCTTTCAGTTGTGTAGGCTTTTATATGTGGAACTTTGTCCAGCTGGAGTAAATAATAGTCTTCTCTGCCTTTTCCTGACACTGAAGTGTAGTTTTGGTCCCACTTTCTCACTTGGTCCTTCTAGCTTATTGCACTCTTTTATACTCTGGGCTAGAGAAGTCACTGTGGTTATGCAAAGATCTTTGAAGGCTCTCCTGTTGTGGAACCCTTGAGTTACTTTTTTTCTCAGCTTGTGACTTTACTACTCATATATTGACCTTAATCTCCTATTTAACTTGTGAAGAAGCTATCTGCTACTGTCAAAGTGTTTAGCATTACTACAGCTGGTTTCAGACTAAACTCTTTGACACATAATGGGGATTTCTTTTTTTTTTAAAATTTTTGTGTAACATCAGTACAGTGGTAACAATTTATTAATGATAATGATGCACTATCCCTTTGTTGATGGAACCTCAGAGCAAGTCAGTGGAATGTGCTAGGGTTGAGTTACATTCCTATCTGAAAAGTCATAATTTTAAGACTACTGTTTGGAGATTTCTGTCAACTTAGTGTTATTCAAAGTAAGTAAATAATGTGAAACAAATAAAATCTAATCGTGTCATGATGTGAAGTACCATTGTGTTTGAAACTTTTTGATTTTTGTCATTTTCAGGATGAAAATCAAGACTAATATGTGTCAGAATTTTAGATTCTGGTCTACTTCTTTTCCTTAAAAAGCAAGTTTCCCTCATGTGTGTTTTATTTCTTTACAAGAAGAGTCTTTCCTATAAGAGCCATGGAAACAAAAGTATTAGTATGAATGCTTAAAGAACCCTTTTTGCCCTGTGAATTATGAATATCTAATTTGGATTCCATATTAAGCTTTTTAACTTAATTAATTAATTTTTCTGAGTTTTTAGTACTGCAAAAAACCCCAAATTTTGCCCTTGTAGCCAAGAAGGACAGTGTTGTCCTGGCTTGCATGAGGAAGAGCAGTGACAACAGGTGAAGGGAGATCATCCTGGTCTTCTGCTCAACCCTGGTGAGACATGTTTGGAGTATTATGTCCACTTCTGAGCTTCTCAGCACAACAAAGACATGGAGCTGCTGGATCAAGTTCAGTGGATAAAAACAAAGCTGACAAGGGGCCTGGAGCATCTCTCTTACAAGGAAAGGCTGAGGGAGGGAGGCCTGTTGAGCACAGAGCGGAGATGACTGAGAAGGGACCTGATCAATGTCAATAAATTCCTGAAGGGAGGGCATCAAGAGGATGGATCCAGGCTCTGCTTGGTGGTGCTGAGCAATAGGACAAGATGCAGTGGGCACAAATGGATGCACAGGACCTTTTCTTTGAATATAAAGAAGAACTTGACTGAGCCCTGGAACAGATTGTGCACAGCAGTGGGTGTATGGGGTCTCCTCACTGGGAAAATTAAAGAATTATCTGGACACAATTCTGTGCTTTCTACTCTAGGATGACCCTGTTTGAGCAGGAAGGTTGAAGCAGATGACCTACCATAATGCCTCCATTATCCATTCAGTGATACACATGTAAGGGAATGCATTCAAAACAATCAACTACAGATCCTTTATATTTTTAAAGATACCATGTATAGGTGAATATTAGATACCCTTGTTTTAGGAAGTTTTAGTTTGTGTTCTGATCGTGCTGATTCTCATGATTTTATATATACCCTTAAACATGACTTATTTATCCTATATGGAAATAGTTCCACAGTTATTCCATTGACATTGCTTTGGGGAGACCTTACTGTGGTCTTTCAGTATACAAAGAAATACAGAGTAAGACTTTTTCTAAGGACTTGTACTTAGAGGACAAAGGGATAACTGTTTTAAACTTTAAACTGAAAATGCTAGGTTTAGATAGGACATAAAGAATATTTATTTTATGATGAGGGTGATGAGGCACTGCAAGAGACTGCTCAGAGAAGCTGTGGGTGTCCCATCCCTGGAAGTGTTCAAGTGTTCAAGTTTGGATGGAGCTCTGAACAACCTGTTCATGTTCCTGGAAGGAGTCCCTATCCACAGCAGGGGAGTTGGAATAGATTATCTTTGAAGGCGCCTTACAACACAAACCACTCTGTGATGAAGCAAACATTTTACTTTGGAAAAATGCTAGTATAAATCTTAGTTCAAAACTTGTACCACAATCAGTGTGACACCTAGCAAAATGATAGATATTTGTGTGACAATTGATGTTCAGAATGGGAGAAATGAATAATAGGGGAAGTTCAAGCACAGAATTGCCACAGCTCTGCAGTACTGAAAATACTTTAAATACCTTTAAATATTGAGACAAACTGCAGTTGAGCATTTCCAAATCCTTACTGAAAGAAAGCAAACAGCAATGGAAGACTGTTGTGCTCAGTATATTTACTTCCAGTTCTCACTTTCCTAAAAACTTTGTTTAGACAATTCACTTTAGATTCTCATTCCTGATTGTAGAAAATTCAGAGCTTATTATATCAAGAATGGTCATACAGAATGGAAAGCATTGAGGAATTTACTTAAAGGATTAGTTATCTGTGGATGCAATATGAAGCAGCACACACTTTGTATGGCTCTCACCATGTCTTTGAAAGGAAGGATATTTTGCAAAAAGGCATCTTGTAAAGCAGTTTCCTTCTGGAATAAAACTGAGACAGAACTAGATAGGAAGTATATGTCTGTGGAAGAATAAAACTGTATTCAAAGAGGAAGATGTTAGAAAGACAAGCATAAATAATCTGGAGTGTTGATACCCATTATCTTCTGTGTTAACCCCAGAGAATGTGGAAGGCTTCTTGTAATGTCTTTTACACATGGAGAATAACCTTGTGTCTCAGTCTGATCTCAGTCAGATTACAGGCTAACCATTTAGAAAATTGTGAAAGAAATTTGTGAAAGGCTGGGAAGTTCTCTGTCTCAGGAGACACTGATGGGAAAGATCCACAAGAGCAGAAGGGGGTCAGTGATTTACAGTATCATACTTCTTGTTCTCTGCTGAAGTGCATGCAAACGCTTTGTGTGCCTGTCTGTGCAAAAGACATTGGGATGGCGCCCTACTCAGTGTAAAGCAGATGATCAGTGTTTAGGTGTGAGTTCAATTCTAAGCAAGGTCATAAAAGGTCAGAAAATGCATATTTTAAGGCTAAACAAACTTACACATTGCAGAGCAAATTGTAGTTCAGGCTGGGACAAAAACTTCTTTTGTGGACAATTAATAGCTTAGCCTAACTCAGCTCTGTGTAGAGCAGAGGTCCAAGAATACAGAAGAGAGTTCATAAGTTGCACAAGAGTGAAGCTCCAGATAAGCAGTGCTTTACTTGACTCAGGACATCACCAGAGATGGCCACAGCTCTGATGTGACTTGCAAGGCCTAAATCTCTTGCCTTAGTTCACCAGTGTGGCTCACAAATGGGGAAGATTCCAATTGCCACAGGCAATTAGTGGACAAGTTGCTGTACATCCCAGAGAAATCATGAGCTCCTGGAACTGCAGTGTGGAACTGTGAAAGAGAAATTCTTTTCATTTAGGTATTGAAAGGGCAGTGAATTGGTTGTTACATGTCTGACTGATTACATTTGGATTATCTTTAGGTTGTTTTACGGAATATATTTCTCTAGCAACCCATCTCAAAAACCTGTGATATCAGGAAGCTTAGGAGCTGAAATGTCCCAGGCTGCTGAGTGTGGGGGTTGCTTTGAGTTTATTCTTAGTGTGATGCCTACCTTATTTTTTTTTTTATCTGAAAGGGATATTATGTTTTCTAAAATGAAGTCTCAAAAATTCCAGTCCCTATATTAAATTACTGCAATACTATTGAAAGCTCAGTTCTAGAAAGTGGTGATTGTTCTCTGAAAAGAATATAATTACTGTTGAAATGTAGGATAAAAGAGAATTTTTATGAGGCTCATTCCATTACTTATGCTCATTTAAGTAATTTAGATTACTTCTGTTTTACAATGCTATTAAAGAGAACTGATACCAGATTATTAGTTTTAGAAACAAGATGTGAAGTTCTAGAGGAGAAGCCAGAGACATCACTAGCAGTGAGCCTTGGTATGTCCTACTCCAGGCATATTCTGAGTCATGGCACTTCTTGAATCTCCCCATTCACACCTTCAGTCCAGTAGGTTAGCTGGCTGAAGGTGATGTGCAACTGATTACAGTATATTGCAGGATCCTTTGCAGTTCATCGCAGCAATAGCAATGATCCCAGAAACCTTGCACTGCTCTCAACACTCCTGCTGCCACTTTTGGTTCTACTGAGTGGAATACAAGAGGACTAATGAAGGAGAGCAACACAATCAGAACTTGGCTGGCCACACACAGTGTCCCATGCTAGGGTAAAGGAGAAGGAAAAGCAATTTCCATTGGTTGAGGGACAATAAGCATAAAACACACTATAAATTACATTTGTGCAGCCTATGACAAAATATGGTGCAGAGTTTTATTGTCCTATTACAAAGAAAACATTATTCAATAACATGTATTTAAGACAGAGATAGTTAGGATTCACACTTAAGACAACATTTTGAGCAAGAGAAGATAAGGGACTCAGAAACTGAGCTGGAAATAGTAGCAAAGATGAGAGAAATTGTTCAGCTGTTTCTGAATTCCAGAAAGACAGTAGATCTGTTGGCGGTAAAGAAGAGATGCCCAGTATGGCAAGTTCCCATATACTGGTGCAGAAGTTTTAAAAGTCCTTACAATGAAGTACTCCTGCTCCTTCCCTAAACTTGGGCATGCTATGAATTTTCAGAAGTCACATTGGTGGCTTAGGACCCCAGAGGGCCTTTCCTTTGCAGGGAGATAGATAAAAATGGTGTTGGAGATACAAAGCTAGGTGGCTGCAATGCAGGAACATGGGGACTGACAAAGTGCAAAAGAGAAGGAATGAGGGTGAGAAGTCATGGTTTGGGTACCAGTGTTAGCAAATGCCATTTTTGCTGCTGATTGTTCAGTCAGGTGCTCTCAAGTACAGTGCTCTTGGAGAGATGCTGCTTTAAAGGCCAAAAATTTAGGTATATTTCCTCACAGAGCTGTATAAAGACAGGGGGAATCTGCCCTCAGTTCAAAGGGGAGAAACAGACAGGCTCCAGCCACATGCTTTCAACCAACCCCTTATCAGCTCAGGTAGCAGTAGGCTGGGGCTCCTCCTCTAAAAAAAAAAACCTGCTCTCCAGAGGTCTAGCTTATTTGGTGCTCATTTGGTAGCACTGTGTCCTGGTGGCACTTTTTGCAAGAGCTGTGGAGCAAATAACCTGATTACTCTTTTGGTGATGCATGCAATTTTTTTTTCCTTTTGTTTTCTTAATTCTTTCCTAATCTGTGACAACTGGGGATAAACTGACCAAAGGACAAATAGCTCAGCTTGACAGCTGAAGGCTTTTCATGGCTGTGGCTGCTGCTGTTCTGTAGAGAGGTAGATGAATCTCTGTGTCCTCCATTTAAACTGTGATGCCTGTAATACATATTATGGAATAATTCATGCTTATTACATATATATATATGTAATAAATGGCGCTTGTATGAAAAAATCTCAGTTTTAAACCACAAGCTGCAACTGGGGAAAGGTCGGAGAACCACAACTGGCAGCAAGCAGAAAGACCTTGTTTACAAATGAAAAAGCATGGCTCTGTGCGGAGATGGGCCCTTTCCTGGACCATCCAGGAGAACTCAGCGATGAATACACAGGAGATATCTATGATCAAGATAGTCAGAGTCATCAGGAGCATGTCAGGAACATGCATCCCAATACCAGGTTCCCATAACACAACATCAGCATTCATCGCTTCCCAGAAACAGCTTTGTCCAGCTCAGCACAGAGAAAAGGAGACCCCATTAATATCGAAGCAATGGGAAGAATAGGAGAACCTCTGCCCCAGGCAGAACAAACTGTATAAAAACTGACCAGGCAGAACAGAGGGGATCTGATGCAGTAGAGGTTGGATCACCCAGCAATGATCCTGGGCTCGGCGGGGATTGTATCCTTTTGATTGTGGCTATCTAAGACTGAATCTTGGTTTCAAAATAAAAATCTATTTTATTAATTATTAATTTGGCTTGATAATTTTTACCTATAACAATGTCCATCTTGTGTTTTTTTCCCTTGGACAATAATTGAGTATACGCTATGAAATTACCCAAAGTCTTGAGACAGCATATAGATATTGAAGTAAGATATCTGTAAATATTTCAGTAAAGCAAGGCTGTATACAAGGCAGTGCATTTTATTGCAGTCACTGAAAGTTATTTCAGTTTCTTCCTTATAACTGATAGCAACAGCCTGCACTGTGGTGTCCCTGTTAGTTGCAGCTGCATCACTCCTGCCACTTACATTAAGGGGAGTGTTGTATGCTCCAGATCTGATTTTCCTGAGGTAATGTTGAATACTGCTGGAAGTATAACTGGATGAATGATAATGGACTTTACTGACATGTAATTAATA